GTTAAAGAATCAGATAAGGCAATTAAATTAGTCTATGTGCACGACTATGGAATCTTTGCAACTAAGAATTAAGTGTATTTATTTCTTTTTTAATTCTTAGGAATTTAACACTTATACAAATCATAGAAATTTAATTAATCTATCTAGAGAAACCAATGCATCTGGAGTTAGATATAATTTATTAACCTTCACACGAAGGATAAACTGCTTCCTTAGGTTCAACTTATTATTTTTTATAACTTTTATTCTTTGATTTGTGAGATAATTTCATAACAATACAACATTCAAAGAATGGCTCAAATTTCATATATATGTTAAATAATCAAATTTTAAATGATATATTGTAAATTGTTTAAAAGTGAGGTAGGATAAAGGTTATACTTGTTAAAATTGGAGATTTTTGTTGAATAATAGAAAGTATTAGTTTTTTAGATTAAGATACAACTCACCTCCAAAGTAGGTCTCTATATTATTCATTAAAACAATTTTCATTAATTGTATGATCTAAAAATAAATAGAATAAGTTTCTTTTTTTAAATTGAATTAAATACATGTAAGACATTTCATACTTGAAATTTTAAATAGTCTATAAATTTCAAGATATCAGATAAAGCAATTCCTTCAAGTATCAAATTACTAATTAACATCCTTAAATATTAAAGATAGTATTTTCTTAATTACAGTTATTATTTAATCCTTACTAGTAAAATTAGATCGTACCATCTATGGGAAGGCTCTACCATTAGCAAAAACAAAAATACCTTTTGTATAAATCACGTATATTATCACACCATTTTTGATGGAGTGTAAACAATAAGATTGCCTGTGATACTTTCTATCATTTATGATTAGAGACTTTATTCAACCACGACAATTGACCTCTTCTTACTACCTACTTGACCCCTAAAGAAAATACATTTTGATACTTTTTATCAATACCTATAAATTCCTTATCATCCCATTACAAAATTAGAATCAATTTCCTTCCTATAGTTTTATCGATTATTTTTCTTTAAACTAAAGGAAATAATGCTAATTCAAGTTTGATTTACTCCATAAATTACTTGATAAAATATAGATATATACTATATTTAAATTAATAGAGTTTATATAGTTAAGAATATTTATCATTGTCTCATTCCTTTAAAAAAAATATCTTAATGTTACTATAACTAATGTTGTTGCCATGAATGGTGTTAACCATGACGTTGTTGATATTTTTATACTATATGTAGAGCTGTGCTGGGTTAAGCATCATAGTTTGCAGGATGCATATACAATTTTAAGAAATTATACAAATACCATTGTTTACTGAAATAATTAGTAATTAAAAAGTGAAAACAACTATTTCATTAGCATAAAATCACTTTATAATATTGAATAGGTAATTAAGAGAATTGATTGAGAGGAAACTCTAAGCATACCTCACATTCAAACAGACCTCAAATATCAAATTTCATCTTGATAAAAATGTCATAAAATAAAGTAATTATTAATATTTTCAACTTTTTCAATGTGATTCATTCTAAATTCTCCAAGATTCGAGAATTGTAAATGTTGTTTTGATTTCCCAGCTATTGATGATCAACTACAAGCGACATCTATTCTTTACAAATTTTGATCCTCAAATGTATAAATAACTTTTCAATTTTTAGTATAAAACTGAAAGGTAGAGTAAAAGTTATTTAATAATTTCTTTAACAAAAAGCTAATGAATTAATCTGATAAATAAAAAGAAGATCTATCTGAGATTTTCGTTTAAGTTAAGGATATTGATGAACAAATATACTGCTTGATAATTGATATACTAAGAAAAGCAAAGATTTCAGATTGCATAGGATTCCTTTCAAACATTGATAATCAAAAACAATTAAATGAATAACTCAAGGTGCATCAGGATCTAGGAATAATTAACTTTAAGAAGATGACTAACATTATCTAATAAATACAAGATCATAACTTTAATAAATATAATTATTCAGAGGAAATATACATAGACATAAAAAAAGACCTGATTAAAAATATATCTAAATAGTAGAAGATAATACAATTTTTTTAATTTTTAATTCGCCTCACAGCCTTTGATTAAACCTTAATATAGTGTGGGTCAAATTCATTACATTTATTAGTTGAGATGAAGGTTGAACTTGGAAACCAAAATTTTGAAAATATTAAAGTTTACAATACCTCTTTAGTGGGTGCTAATTTTGTTAGATGCAATTTAAGTGGATCGTAATTTGAAAACGTCGACATAAGTGGATTGAATTTGAATGGCGCTAAACTATTTAACTGTAAATGGAAGAACATTAAAATACAAATGTTAAATATATTAAAAGGTCATACTTAAGCAGTCCTATCAGTATGTTTTTCTCCAGATAGTTCTACATTAGCATCCTG